CACAGACACACACACACACACACACACACACACAGGTTAAAGGTGTCCCCTACCTCATCTGATCAGCTTGTAGCTACAAAGCCATTCTCTGCTCTCGGCAGGCTCTGAGGCTGCGCTTCTAATGAAGTGTTATTCTCACGCTGGGCCTGATGAAGACGTGACCTTTCACACACACACACACACACACACACACACACACACGCACAAAACCTCCCGATAGAGACACTGCATATATAGTTTTCCAATCTTGTGACTACACAAAACATTGTTTATTAAATAATAGCCGAATATTAGTTTGAAATTAAAAGTGTCATATACTATTTGAAAGTAAAAAGTTTTACTCTGTGGAATGAAATTTCAGAATCATTTCATTTTTACTTTCCCAACAAGCTGCTGTAGTTATAAGTCCTTATTGTCACTGTAAACCTTCAGGAAGTACATTTTTTAATCACACACACACACACACACACACACACACACAAAATCAGTTATATTAAAACAAGCTGCCAAAAGCAAACTTTACAAACACTTTATAATGCACTATTTTACATACACATCATGTTGAGACAATCTAACAGTTAGTAGCTATAAAGAAGCTTGATACCAGTTAAAGCATTACAATATCCATATCCAGTTCTGATTGGTCAATAAGTGTTGATTCATTTCGTTTATACCACAGCATGGTTGAATTCTTGAATCTGATTGGTCAGTAGCGGTGCATTTCTTTTGTATAACAGAACAACTGGGACAGTAGTTCCAGCTGTAAAATGAATGACAGATTTATATTAATGCACTTGTTCTAATTTGTTATTGTTCCTATAGTAACAGCTCAGAGACATGGGGACTTGTATGGCGGACACTCCACATAATCTAAGACTAATAACATACAGATTAAAAAATGTGTTGTTTAACAAAGAAAATCATTGATGTAGTGACTTTTTTTTTTGTTAGGAGACATTTATTTAGCATTTATGGAAGGAGTCTCCAATGTCAGACCTTTTTTCACACAAGTTTCCCAGCACAGAAGAGTCTTCAGGACAGACGCGTTCATATTTTCTTGTTCTTGATGAAATGACAAGCTGCGTTTTTAGATAGAGAAAGAGAAAGAGAGAGAGAGAGAGAGAGAGAGAAGTTGAGGGAATGACTGTTGATCGTTAACGTAAGTGAGAACAATAACTAAACATTAAATGTAACTATAAACCATTAAAAAAGTGTGACGTCATTCATTAATAAATTAAAAATTTAAATCATTGGGAAATCATAGTATAAGTGGAATAACACACGTCAGTCTGTGCTGTTATACGAACAAGTACACTCCGCTTCGCGTCGGGACGTATCAAACCACCCCAATGCGAAGCGGAGTGTACTTTTTTGTATAACAGCACAGATTATTATTGTATGTTAATATTATTATTGTTGTATTATTTTCATACAACACGGTCTGTCAGGTGTTAACACTTACATAACTTACCTAGGGACTTGTTGGTGTATGTGCCACAATAAACTTTTTTTATTGTGTGTAATCATGGATATGGAGAAGTTTTCTGTGAGCAGATGATTATTCAGCGTTTTGGGAAGGAGCCTCCATTGTCAGAGCTCTGTAACTGTCAGTGGTTCTGACACAGGACAGAGGGTTTTTGCAGTTTCCTGATAACACGTCGCTGAATTGTTTTTTTCTATAGTTTATATCTGCTATAATACAAGTGATCACAGGAACGAACTTGTCTCACAGATGTACTACAACAATAAAGGTAACTATAAATGAATAAAGGGTACAACATGACGTTCTTTGATAAACAAATTTTGTAAGTATTGGCAAATTGCTGTGGTATAAAAGAATTTAAACACATCAGGACATGCTGGCATGGGAAAATAATCAATTTCACGATGGTAACAGTAACTCCGTTTTGTGCCAAGCTGCATCACACCACCCATTTGTTGATTATTTTCCTGTAACAGCACACCCAGAGTGTTTTATCCCTTACACAATACATACACGTCGATATTATGAAGTGTTTTCAAGGCATTGTAAATAACAGCTGTTAAAATATTCGATTTTCTTTTATTAATAAAATGTTGACAAAAGATAAGTCCTTAATCATCCTACTTAAACTCATTTATGGGATCATCAAGGCCTACTAAATGCCTAAAAACTCCTCCTGTAAGAAGTGTGTGCATTTACAAGCACATTATTTACAGTCAACAATGCCCAGTGGAGCATAAGAACCCAAATAAAGCGATCAAATGAAACTAGATCTGGACGCAGACGGGATGCTCGCCTAATGTAGCTCCAGTTAGTGAGTCCAGCAACGGAAGTAACTTAACGTTAAGTTACACAGCCACTGAACACGGCGGAAACATGCGGAGCATCTGGGACAGCGCTGGAACAGCGACATGGGCCTACGTATATAGCGTGGCCTTGTAATGAATCGTGAAGCGCCAAATGTGGCATTGTTAAATTGCATTAAAGAGGTGGACTTTGGAGGGAAACATGGTGTTAAAAGTGTGTGTGTTCCTCAGAGCATGCACACATTCTACATTTGAACACCATTAAAAAAAAAAAACAATGTGGGCCGAATATGTGCACACACTGCACTTGCACCTGCCTTAATCGGCGTAACTATACGCAATTATTGCTGCATATCTACTGTATAATGGATCAGATTCAGTGATGCCTGATGCCTCAAAACCACTCAATAAGCTCCCTGTTGCTCCTGAACCAAGCCAATCCTGTTTAGGATTACCTGTGGCACCTGGGAGCATCTATTTTTTTTTTATCTATTCACTTGACAAGGTAAGAAAAATGATAAATAAAATGCATTCCTTTTTCAGAAATATAATATATATTAGAATTAGCATAGAAGAATGCTGTAGTTTGCAGGGGTAGTTACATTTTACACATCAACCACATCAAGAGGTGTGGGAAAACTTATATTTCATAAAGCAAGAATTATGCATTCATCATTTATTTATTTTTATTTTTATTTTTTTAGAAAATTGTGTCTTTCTGTTTAGCATGATCACAAAAAAGTAAAAATTGATGAAACAATCTGTTGGGAGAATAATTTCCATTTTCACATTCAATATTTGACATATTTTTAACTAATATTTTAGAACTATGATGCATTAAAGCATAAGGCTTGATAAAATTATAGTAAGCCTCATATTTGTCATATAATAACCTCACAATCCATCCATTTTCTGTACTGCTTATCCTGTACAGGGTCAGATGGAGCTTGCAGACTATCCCAGGGGACTCGGGGCACAACCCCACCAACACATCGCAGGGCACAATCTCACACACACAGCTTAGAGACACCAATCAGCCTACAGCACATGTCTTTGGAGTGGGGGAGGAAACCAGACTACCCAGAGGCAAACAGAAAATTTTAAATCAGTGTAGATATTGTAGAGAGAGTATTCAGAATGATGCTCAATTGCAGATCAATTTAAAACACCAGCATAGTGAGATATGTGGTAGAAAGTTAGTGACCAGTTAATTTTATCATATTAATTTAAACTTTTGTCAGATGGCCACAAACGTGACTAAAACTGTCCACATGTGCTAATTATGAAGCACTTTTGTATACTTAATTGGCCCCACAATGATTTACTACTGTAACAGCATTCTCAAATATCCACTTTTTCCTACTCTCAGAAAGGACAGCTAGCATTATCTCTTATGAAGTTACTGCATTCAAATCTAACGCACTGATCTGCTTGCTACATGAGCCGTACTGTGGCTGAAAATCATCCACTTGACGCTCCTTCACTTGATGGTACTTAGATTCCATGCTTCTCTTCATTAAAGCAATAAAACAACCGAGATCTTGAAGCAAGTTGCCTCCTTCAGCTCCGAGTTCAGTGGAAGAGATCAGATTAGCATTGAGAGGGTTGATGATGATGAAGAGGAAGACTGCAGCCCTAGAGAAGAGCCAGTGAAGAGGAAGATTGTTCAGTCAGATATGTGAGAGCATAAAGTGGAGTTAATCAGTGACCTAGGATATCTGTTATATATCAGAGTCTGAGTCTAACACAAACATACACTGTCTTATAGCACAGTATCAAACTGTTGGAAATTCCTGATAAGTCCTGATTGTTGCGCTTCAAAGAATGGTGTAAAATATTGCCTATCCAAACAAACCATGATGTAAAAACAACTTAATGCAAGCTGAACTCAACGCGTGTAGGACATTAGAGTTGAGATAATCCATGCGATGCCATGCAATATTGGGCAGAAAAGTGTGAAAATCCCGATGAGGGCGGACAGTGTCACGTCATGCGTGGATCTGTGACTGGTTCAGCGAGCACCCACAGAGTCCTGACAGACCAACTGAACCGGAATTCACCTGAAACCCAACAACAGTGACAACATCAGTCATATCTGTCCCCAAAATACAGATGTGGTCCATAATGTACTGCTGGAAAAAAGACTTTCATAAACATAGATCATAGATCTTGTTGCTGTTATAGTGCTGTTTCAGGGCATGATACTGACCAGTTGTCCCTGGCAATAAGGTTTAGGTGATCTGATTTAATCATTTTGTGGCCTGTTGTTACTCAAGAATATGGAAATAAGAATCACTAGATACAAGGCTGGGAAGTTACACAAATGGAGATGTTGGCAAGACTTCGCAATGATTATGAGCTTGAACCAGCTTTATATATGTTGTGACAAGTGTAGAAGAAGTGTTAGTATTTTGGGCAGAGAGGGACAACAGTCAGCAAGTCCTTCTTGCTGATTTTATTGTTCCAATTTTTATCGTTCCAATTTTATTGTTCACAAAACATTTTTTATATTCACATGCATCATTTGTTTCCTGATACTCAGTTATACCTCCCCTCATCTGAACAACACTTCCCAATCCTGTCAGGTGAGTATTCCGCCAGTGTCTTGAGGTAGTTCCTGTCAGTTTTAGGCCGCTCTTGCACTGGCAGGGTGAAATTCAGTTAGTCCATGGATTCCTATTTTGGCGTTTTATCTTTCTCTCTCACTCGGTTCCCTGTTGGACTAGTGGCTAGCATGCGGCACTCTCATTGCCATGGTCCGGCTTCAATTCCTGGTGAGGGAACCAACCCCAGCCAATGAAAGGTTGCACCAGCCAGTGCACACTCAGTACATTTTGTGGCCTCTTGTCACTTTCCATGGCAACTACATTTTCTTTTCATTTTTCAAAATAATGATAATATTAGTCGCCCTGGGTTGACATCCCATCCACCCATGACACCCGCCTTGGGCCCTGAGTCCCCTAGGATAGGCTCCAGGCTACCTTGTGACCCTGTGTGGGTAAGCGGTAAGGAAAATGGATGGATGGCTTGATGGATAACAATAGTTATAACGTAACATTATTATATTGTAATGGAGAGAATGTAGAAGATGTGTGAGGATTCATATGCAGGAGGTTTAATAACAAATTTAAGCCACAATCCAAAATCAATGTCAAAACAAGGTCAAACACAGGGATGCACGATAAATTCATAAAGACAAAGGGTAAATCTGAGTACTCGTTACACAAGGCAAGGAGCAAGAAGACAAAAATAGCAACCAGTAGATACGAGACTGAAAACTTACACAAATGGAGATGCTGGCAAGACTTCGCAATGATTTTGAGAATCGGCTTTATATATGTCTGTAAACAGAGAGTTGCGATGATATGACCTGGCAACTCAAAACACGGACTGTGCACAGGATCTTTTTTGTATACAATACTGTAAAACCAACAAAATTGTTTGTCTGTGGAAACAAAATGTCAAATATTCCCTGCACATCACAAAATTAACCTTTGGAAGTGCTGTTATTAGAAAATAATCAACTTTGGGATGTAACACACTACTCAGCCACTGATTACTTTCCTATAACAGCACATCCCAAAGTGATTTATTTCTCTTTTGCCACATTATCACTATCTGATCTTATGGCATTACTTAATAAGGGTCTTTTGGATATTGGTCACAATTAGATGACAGTCACTTCAGTGGTCTTTTTAATAGTTAAGGGCCTACTTGGAATGCTTTCTGATAGGAAAATACACACTTCCACATAAAATTTTAAGGATTTCACGGAGGGACAGCCAAAGAAGTGTTCCAGATTGAACTTTTTTTTGTAGAACTGTACATGATCCTTCAACAACTTCTTCAATAACTTCTTCAACTTCTTCATTAATTTCAAGTAACTAACAGTTACTTTGATGAAAAACTCCGGAAATACCACTCGTGCTGTAAGTAAATAAAAGAAGGTGTATAATAACCCACCCATATGTGACGCGTCTTCATCTTGAGATGAGCCTTATCTAATTACATGTTATAAGGACGCTACATTTAAACAGCGCCCTGCTGTCGGCTTAACGTGGGGACTTGCCCGCTTATGACTGTGTCAGGCCTCATCCTGAGACGCACCTATCTAATTAATGCATAACGTGTGGGAAGACATATCATCATTGTGCAAAGGAAACACGGCCAGCTCCAAGTTTCACTCCAGCAAGCTGTAATTATTATCTGAGCTCTTTACATGTATTTATTATTATCATATGCAGGAGACTCAGCAATGCTTTGCCTGCTTCGTTAGGTTGAAGTGGGTGCAGACAGTTGGAGGGAAAATCTCCTACCTTCACTCCTTTAAAACATTTTGAAAGGTAAATAAATGACATCTGGACACTTGGACATGCCTCAAACATTTTTCTAAAATAGCTAGCTAATCTCTCTAAACAGTGAACACTTGAAAATAATACTTATATACTCAATTAGACATTGAGAAGACAGATAAGAAGAGAGAAATTCAGCACCAGGTCTCATGCCTACTTTTTAAAGACAATAATTCTATATGAAAATCAGAGAAAACTTTATACATTTTTTTT